AAAAAAATACCACAGACTGAGGGGCTGAAACAACAGACATTTGTTTCTCACAGTTCTGGAGGCTGGAAGTCCGTCATCAGGGTGTTGGCAGGTTGCTTTCTTCTGAGGCCTCTCTCCTTGGTTTGCAGATGGCCATCTTCTGGCTGTGTCTTCACATAGCTGTCCCTTTGTGTGTGCCTGTGTAATCTCTTCTTATAATGACACCAGTCATATTGAATTAGGGCCCATGCGTATGACTCATTTTACCTTAATAGCCTATCAGGACCTTAAAGGTCCTGTGTTCAATCATTCTGAGATTCTAGGGGTTGGCACCTCAACATGACTTTTGGGAAGGCAAAATTCAGCCCATAACACCCTGTCTCAAGGGGCAGGCAGTTGGTGACCTGCCAGAATGCAGGCTCAGCATTGCCAGATCCTTCAGGTTCTCAAGAAAAGCTGGAAATTTTTATTTTAACATAAAATTTCCCAAGTTTTATATTTACAACAATTTCAAATTAAAAAAAAAACCAATAATCACAGTGTAATCCATGGTCTGAATAAGGCCATTGATAAGCCAGTCGATCACCACTTGCCTAGACTGTAATTTCCTCAGTGGCAGGACTGTGTCCCATAACTCTTTAATCCCTCTCAGCCAGTTCTTGCACATTGCAATAGTAACAAAAAGCTGATCATTGAATGACTAAATTCAAATTTTACAACCTTTTTTAAAGTAGGGTACATCTGTAGAAACCCTGCACCTTTGCAGTCATGCTGTGATATAAAATAGCATCAGCTATTATAACCGCCTTCGTTGCTGTTTATGCCAAAGCTAACAATTACACTCTTCACAGGATCCCGGTTATACCACATGCCATTTACAGATGAGGAAACAGCAGACCCAGGTCGGTTTGTGTATCCACACGTGTGTAGCAACCTTCTCCTGTTATATCGTCTCTCTCTTTGTTCTCACAAATGATTATAATGTCAAAATAACACTACTATTACTGAGTGCTAACTCTGCGCTGGTTACTACATTATCTCACTTAATATTCACAATTACTCCAGAAGGGAGATTCGGGCAATCAAATTCTCCAGGGAAGTATTCCTGAAGACCTCAAATAATTTAAAATTGGTGTAATTCAAAACCCACCTGCTAAAGGATGGCAGGTATTTCTGTTTACCTGTTAGGATAGTGCTATTATGTGGCTATAGCATAAATACAATTCACACTGTTTTATAAGGTTTATGACAACTTTTAATTGGGGCATTTTGGGTTATTACAGATTTTACACATAAAGTGAAACAATAAATATTTTTACATCATGCTGTTTCAAATTCAAATGATTCAAATAAGACCATACAGAATGATTTTTCCCATTTAACAGAGAAGGAAACTGAGGCCTAGAGAGGTTAAATAACTTGCCCAAAGTCAAACAGCTAGAAAATGACTCTTAACCACCTTTTAACTACCAAACCAGCTCTGTGCTTCTCTAATGCAAGACATTAGATGTCACTTCTTTAGGGTTACTCTAAATGCCCATCACGGACTGACCAAAAGTGACTCCGGGGAAGTTGCCCAGGGATGTCAAAGAAAACCTAGCATTTCCTCCCCAAGCCCTTCAAAGTTCAGAATTTGTTCCTCTCCCTCAGTTCTTAGATCTTCAAACATGGTCCCTTCTATACTGTTGGAGGGATCATCTAGTCCCCAAATTTTCTTCCCCTGCCACCTGCCTCGTCCTGGATTCTGCTACATCTCAATGCTGCTGGGAAACTTATTACAAAGAAAAAGGAGGAGTGAAGCTTGTTTTCTCTCCTGGTCACACAGGCGTGCCGGGCTGGGCCCTCAGTGTAGCCAGATAGTTATAATGTGCCCAGGTCATCACAGGGCTCATAGTGTGCCCTACAGGAGCAGCAACCACATCTTTCACCTCCAGATCCCCAGTGTCTGGCCTCAAAGGCAGTATAATAAGGGGCACAGTTTATTGGGTATTCGTGTGCCAAAGCATGGTACCAAGCATGTGCACACATGACACCCCACTTAGTCCCTCCCAAGCACTGTCCCATGGACCCACTGGTCTTTGTATTATGGAGCATGGACATGCCAGGTTCCTCGGGACAGGAACAGCAGGCAGGAGCAAAGATCAAGTCTCCCTAGGACTCTCTTCTGGTAGC